AAAAAAAAGCAATGGGAATTTTAAACTGCTGGAAGACGTGCTGAACGAGTCTCTCCTCTCGTGAGAAGTGCAAGGCAAAAAATGGCTGTTTGCTCAGCTAGCTCAGTCCAGTCAACGATTCTACGATTGAAAACATGAATAAATTGTACAGAGGCTGGGAAATTTATTCGGGTAAATTCCCGTAAAATACGATGAAATTAAAAAAACACATTCTTGGCTTGTGAATGTAGCGAAATCAAAAAACAAAGTTTTGAAAACCGTGGGAAAATTGCCACTGCTGAAAAAATTTGATAGTCCCTGAACAGCTTTTTATTTTTCTTCCCAACAAAAGCTACTAATCCTTAATCGTTTAAAGAACAAGCTTGAGAAGTACTGCGACAAAGCAACAAATTGTTGAGTAAAAAGTTGTTGATATCACCCGATGTATTCTTGATGAGATGATTCGCTTTGCGTCCTTTGCAATTTTCTTGCTCCGTCTCTCCGCCACAGCCAGCATTTACTCTTCCGCTTTCATCAGTAGCTACATTTCGCATCCGTACGTCACTGTGTTCAAGGTTTGATCGTGGCGATACAAGTGAAATGAATGTCGATTTCCTCCCTCCACCCCTCCCCCCCGCCTTCTATCCGTTCCCGCTCAAGCGTTTACAATTATGAGTGTGTACGTCATTTGTCCCATGCCCAAGGAAGTGCTGAGAGGCGTGATACAGCAGCAACTTGTGTTATTTACGTTTCATTTGTTCAATGCTCTTTTGACATATGCAAATATTTGCATTGCTGTAGACGATGGTGCTTCTCGGTAAGTGTCGAATTACTTCTATTTTGACATCTCAGAAGGGTACAAATGTGCCTAGTCATCATATTCACGCTTTTTGCATAGAATAAGCTGTACTTCAAATCCTTTTGTTATCCGCAACTACGGCCTTACAGTATTTCAATTACACAAAAATGTTGAATTTTTCATTTTTTCTTGTCTTTGTAAACTCTCTTCTTAACTTCAAATCCAGCACGCTGATGTAAACCCACCCAAGATGTTTAAAAGTAATGCGAACTCAACAAAAGAAGCTAAGACTTTTTTATTACTCAGTTTTCAAGTTTCTTAACACATTCATTCTTCTGCAAAAAATAAACTTCAATTCCAGCAAGGAAAACAAACAAGTAGATGCAACATACATACAGTCTCCATTTCGATTTAGAGCTCGGGAATCAGTTTGCTGGGCTCGTAAATAACTATACCGTTTGAGAAAAGTAACGAGTAACAAGATGGGTTTGAACAAGACCGGAGTAGACGACCGAGAATGGTTATTAGATTTCACTGAATTATAAGACACCTTTTCCAGTAGTAATATAACTTCGACTCTCTCAAGTGGAGGGCGGAGGGGAAAAGAGGGAGGGGGTGTATGCTAGAGCGACGATAAATTGCTGCCGACACGTAAAGCGCGGATCAGATCAGCCCAGTGTTCCGTAACAAATTTTACAAAGTAAAAATTCGTAGGGAATTTTGCATACGAAGGAATCGAGCTTTTTTTATCTTGATCAGCGAGAACGTACGCAAGAAACGGAATCGGTCGTTTCTCACCGCACTGTTCATTCACTATCACCAAATTCCATGCAACGTCATCAGCGCAGTTCGTGTAGAAATGACGCGTTATGTATTCGTATACTGCGACGATGACAAGTTGCTCCATAATCGGATTATTTTCAGGAAACGCTGTCAGGGCACGGGAAATTGCGGATTTGAGAAGAGATTGATCCGACAATGATAGTTTTGTTGCTGCGGGCGCAGTATATCTTCACCTCGATCTATACAGCTTTGCTTGTCCCTCACAGAGGAAGACTGTCTGGGAACTGAGGTAATTTATTGAATCGTCGTTGCTCCAAGCTTCAGCCACCATTTCTCTTGTTTCCTTCCCCTCATGCTCCTCATTTTCTGAATTTTCGCTGACTGAAAAAAAAAAA